TTTGTCAGTGTCAGCCATGTGGATGAGTCACAGCCATTGCTTGGCCAATGTGCTTTCTGTGAAAGCCTGAGAGAATGTTTTCTCTCCATGTGACTCTCCTTAGGCACACTCTACATCGTCGATCACTTTCCTCTTTGGCCCCATAATCTCGTTGATCAGAAAATTTGGGATGCTACCGAGTTACATGACGTTACAGTACAAGTTCTCATATGTCCTGACTCTCAGGAATTCTGACAGAACTTCTTGTTTTGTTTTGTTTTAATGTATTTGGTACAGTGTCTCACTACGCAGCTCAGACTCACAGTGATCCTCCTGTTTTCTACCTCCCCAGCGCTAGGATTACAGGCATGCACCACCAAACCCAGACTTGGTCCCCTGTTTATCAAGCCCTGGTGGCAGGGCCAGCATAGCATGCAGGACCAGGGATTGAACCTTGGTCCCTGTGCTTGCCAAAGCAGGCACTTAGTCCGCTGAGCTTTCTAACTGCCCTTCTGAGAGAATTCTTAAAGTACTCAATATTAAGGTGGTAGGTATGTAAAAATAGCTAAAGGTGAGGTAGTCCCAAAATACCTTTCCAATCTAGAGGACAAAATCTTTTGCATTTCAACACAAATTAAATTTGTGGAAAAATATTTGAACACCATATGATTTCTCTCTATTTTTGAATACTCAGAATTTTATGACAGATTAGACCAGGTTTAACCATATTATAACTATAAATATATTGAATCTGAGGGGAGCTGTATTTTCTTGATCACATTTTGATCTGATACCTTCTTCTTTACCATGTTGTCCTCTAATACTCTGCCCATACTGACCCCAAGAGAAGGGATAACTGTACAGTTGGTTTATAATTCCCTTCAACAACTGAAATACAACTGATGTGAAATTTGGAAGAACTTTATCTGACTTAGAAATTCTCACAATGCTTCAATCAGCCTCGTTGATAAGGTTCAAGCTTCTAAACTACACCCACATTAATGTCAATGTTCCTCTAGTGGTCGAGTTACAAATCTGAATCTATAATATGCAACCTAGTCCTGTTTTGTCATGTGACCCTAGACAGCACCAGAATCTTGTGGAGAGCTGTGAAGGACCACGCCTACAAGATGGCGCTGGTTTCCGCCTTCCAACCCCCATGGGTGGGCGCTCTCTGTGCACAACAACTCCTTATATGGCCAGGGCTGCTGTCATGATTTGCTTCCGCATGTGCTGGACCCATGGGTGATCCCCATGTGGCGCACTGGGATTGGGCTCGGGAGTATATATTAGCCGAGGGCTGGGGGATTAAAGAAGAAGAAGCTTGCTGTAAGGGGCTTGAATAAACCGCTGAAGGAAGAGCTGTGTGTTGCGTCTTTCCTGCTGGTCAAGAAGCACGCGACAGAATCTATGTGTGGACAGCAACAGATTAGAGAATTGTCAGAAAAGCAGAAATCAACAGTTCTATGAGAAAGCAGTGACTGAAAACATTGTACAAATAATTAAATGAAAGTAGTACTCAATGTGAAAAGTTATATTCAAAGTGTTTGTATGCTGATGGCAAAAATGAAAAATAAGACAAAACACAACATATCTAGATTTCACCTACAGATGGTTCAGAAGTGATTTTTCTATGATCCTACACTACTTTATGCAATTATGTGTAATTAAATTATGGTAAAAATAATCAGCTTAAAGAAAGTATTCAGAACAATTGCTGGTCTAAATAATATTCTTTTTCATAAATGAAAGTATCATGAGTAGCAAAGTGCCAAAGAAGAACAGAGTGATCTGTGGTTACGTGTAAATCCTGAAGCAGTGGAAGCCATTTGTATTATCTTTACTTCTTTGAATAAATTCAGATGACAGCCCTATTTCATTTCTTCATTCAGTTTGGAGGCCAGATGGCATTAGAATCATTTACTTCACCTTGTTGTGCTTAATTACTACAATCAACACACTATTTTCCAAATTAATCATAACAAAGTAATTTCATTAGTAACACAGCAGGCTGTTGAATTATTAGCATCATAACAGTTTGCAAACAATTAAACTTTATTTGAACCTTAAAAATTTGCAGAGTGGAACATTATTGTAAGATCTAATGGCAATAGAGTACAAATTCAGTACAGAGCAAATAATCAAGCAAAATGCTATATAAAATATGACTTACAATCACCTTTGAAAAAATTAGCTCTCTAACTGTTCATAGAAAAACAAATAAAAGCTCTACGCAAACATAATGAGAACATAACAATTAGCATATTTTCTAACAAGCCATGTTGTTTAAATTCACATTAATGATATTATTATGATCTTGAAGAGTATGTAATATATCGTCAAGGGTGTAAAGAAAACTTTGTCCCTGGTTGTATACAAATGATTTCATCAAATGAATACAAAGTAGTCATGAATCGAAAGTGATGATTATTTTTTCTGTCACTGCGATTTTAGTCTTTCGTTTCCTTTCATACATCTTCCACCTACACACAAGTGTAAGGACAAAGGCCAGAGGAGCTCTGGACAGAAGTAACACCATCTTCCTGTACAGTTACCACTCAGAGACTGTCTGGTTTGTACACACTGGTCATCCGTTGGCAAAGGACTCCCTCTCCTGGATTAGCTGCAAAGAAGGCGGAACTCTTCCCCTGCACGTTGCCCCAACACTTGCCTGGCCGGCCGGCCTGGGTGGGGGAGGGGTGCCAAGAGAGGCTGCGAGCGATGACAAGCTGCTGCCATCTACTGGCCCAGCACCGAGAGCTCCACTTACATTCCAGGCACTACTTTTCCAGACTACTTTTGCTTCTCAGTCACCCAGCTTTGAAAAACAGTCCATTAAGATCTTCCTTGCCGTTTCACTTTCGCCACGGCGCTTTCCATCTATTTCAATGGCAACATACTAGGAAAAGGGTATCAACTATACAAATGTCATTTCTGAAAACCTTAACTTGATGTGTCAATATACATAAAACCCGAGTTAACTCAAAATTCCTAAAATTAGGCTTTCCTCCCTTACATCTAAACCTGAATTTTCATGGCATTTAAGGGATAATTGTAAAATAAACACTCTAATATTGCCTATAAACAGTTTTCAGCTTATACATATGGGTAGAATCTTTCCTTGAAAATTTCAACAAAGCTAGTACTTGCTAAGTAATGATTAGTATTGGGAGATTATGTCTATTCCAAATAATAAGTTGGTACTGGATTTTGACATTTATTAAAGCCACACAAGTACTTCGTGGGTATTTAAAACACTTCTGATTTCAAAGTCCAGGAAAAGGTGGTAAGATTCTCCAGATCTCACTCTGCAGCCCTGAATCTACCCCCAAGGTCAGGTCGCTGACCTCCTCGCTCTCACTCGTGGGTGCGTGTTCCCACTGCGACTTCTACTCTTTCCTCTCCAAACCTTTGTTTTCTTTTAAGCACTCTGAGAAATGCAGGGGAGATTCCAATCCACAGTTCTGCTGCTACCGTGGGATTTTAATAACATAACAATGATAAGAGTGCTTATGTACACTGCCTTCTTTTGAGACTATTTTGAGATTGTTTACAACATTATGTAGTGGCAGAAGAGGGTTTCTTATGAATCTTTTATTTCATTACATTTAAACAGAAATGTGGTAGAAAGGACTGACAAATCCATATCAACCCAAAATATCTGTTTCAGTAAAGTACTCTGCACAAAAATGGTTCTGGTTTGCACTAGTATTTCAAGGGACAGCACACTTCCACTTGTATTTCTGTCACTTTTTTCTTTCTTGTGGTTACATTTACTAGGAAATAAATTTGCCAATTTGTAAAATTTCTTTCTTGAATCACATCACTACATAAAAAAATACTAAATGATCTATAAAGCTTTAACACATTCTTTAGCACCTACCAACAATTTGCATGACAATTTCAATTAAAATTCTATGCAATCATATATTACACTCTAAAAGTAACTGATGCCCAATGATTAAGTGAAAGTGCAATTCACACTAGAAGTAGCAATGACTGTATGGCCCATATAAATAGTAATGAACTCTTCAGACAATCAAATGAGTACATAAAAACTGTAATACTTTCTCTGCGAAACAGCAACAGGTACAACTTTACTGCTTGCATCTAATTTACATCAATACTCATTTAATTTCACATCAGACTACTCTAATAAATGACTAAAGTAAGAGTCAAAGACATTCAATAAAGCAAAGAAAGGTTCTAAGCTGTCACCCAGGCTTTCATGAGACTTCAAAATCAAAAGCATTTGCAGACAACCAGAAGACTCTTCTTCTTCTGCAGACAAAAAGGAAAAGTTGAGTTTTAATATTTTTTTCAATAGAAATGTTGATTCTTCTAGCCTAGAAATATTGTACTCTTTTAGTCAAGGAAAACTGAATGTTTACTCAACATTTTATCAACTTAGCTCCTCAGAAAGGTCACAAAAGTGTTTTACTAAAGAGGAGGGAATCTGGGCAAACATTTTGGTTATTATCAAAGGAACTGTGTCTAAAAAATGTACTCATTTCCAAAGTTCATTCTATGATGATATTTCTAAATTTAAAGATAAAGCTAAACAAAAAAGATGTGGGTACCATCTATGTGTTATCAAAAACTATAAAGACTTAAAAAGACAAAGACTTACAAGAAAGAGACCAAGAGAACATACGAGCTGTAACAAGAGCACTGGATTAAAATGTACTTACCCAGGACTCTCAGATATCATACATCTCCATTATGTAGGCTTTAGGCACCAAGCCAATGGCTCCCTTCATTTCTCCTACCCACCAGCCGTATCTATTGTACTCCTAATTGAAAACAATATGCAATATTAACCTTTAGACTGGTGGAAGTACAACGTGGTATGTATGCAACTTCTTAGACATTGTTATTTCTTTTTATAAAGTTACAAGAGCTTAAGCGGCAAATGGAAACACTGTCATCTTTTTGTTTCTAGACACTTTAAAAAATGCTGTTAGGCAAAGATTTAAATTAATGCATGACACAATGCCTGTTTATTACTCTGTAGAATACAGAGGCAGTCACTCACTCATGAGAAGAACATGGAAAATGAAACTGTTTTGGGAAACCAGTTCTCTAGACAAAGTCTCTCTCGCTCTCTCTCCCTCTCCTCCACCCCCTTAGTCTATAAAGTTAATATTAGGGTCCCAAAGGTATATTTGCCTTCAAGAAGCTTGTTATCTAACAAGGACAACTTTTTGCAACAAACTAATTTCTACTTAAACTTATATGACCTGAAGTGATTTAGAATGTACAGCCTTAAGTCAATCTAATATCCACATTTTAAACACATAAATTAGAGAATAAGCAAATACTAACATAAAACAATTTGCTTTTCAAAGTAACACACAAATAGATTCCTTTACAGAAACATGCCTAAGGCATTTATTATTCCTTTTATTGATCATAAACAGTATTATATAAAGGACAGGTGGAGAGAATTTAAGCTGGTATTAGATTCACCCTTATAGTGGAAGATCAATAGGAAATAAAAGTATCTCAAGTTTTAAAGGCAAAATATTAATCTAGCTGTAGAAAAGAGTGATGGATGAGGCACTTCTACATTTACCTTGCAATACGAGATAAACAAAGCCATGTCTCCTCTTCTTTCCTTTATCCCCCACTGACAGACATACCACTGCTTTAGGCATAACAAACCCTTTATAACCAGCCTCATACATCTGCCAGATTGACTAATGTATTTTTATCTCAAATTTTATTTATGTTTAGTGAGATACAAACAAAGTAAAATGAATCACAAGTTTCAAGAATAGTATCTTCCAAAAGCAATACTCTGCACGAGCGCTGTAGGGCCAAAATTTAATTTTTCATAGAAGATAAATTTTTAAAATCAATCCCCAAAGTAATTCAATAGGTTATGATTTTCCAGCATCTGAGTCATAGATAAATGTGCATATGCATACTGAGTTACGCGTGGGGAGAGGAGGTTAATACGAGTACAGACTGAATATTTGTATTGATTAGTAAGCCACTGACCATCAGAAAGGAAAATTATGTACCTCTTCAATATAGTGTGGTAACGATAGGATGTATGTATTGATTAATGTAGTCTACCAATAGAGGGATTATAGGAGAAAATCTGTAGGTGCTTTTTCCAACAGTGGGCAGTGTCAGAATTAGGTTATGAGAAGGACAAAGTGGAGGGAAAGGAGGGAGACTAATCCTGCCCTTTTTATGCTGAGGAAGGCACAGCTCTGGCTTGGGGGCGGCAGACCCACGCCAGGAGGCCAGAAAGTCCGCTGATAATACAGACACAGGGGACAAAACTGTCCACACAACAAGGATACTCTGAGTCCAGAACTCAGTAATGATGAGTATACTCCATGTAGAATATATTTATCAGAAGAACACACTAACTTACTGAAAGCTATGATTAGCAGCCATTACACACTAATAGGTACCTAATAAAACTGCCCTTTTCAATTTTTCAGGCAATGAATATAATTAGATCCTAATGCTTAGCAAAACAAAAGTACTTAACCTTCCATAGACCAAAGGTCCATATTGTAAATTGTCAAATGCATAATTAATAGGGTAAGTGTGAGTGTGAAATCTCTTACCTAATGCCAGTCTTAGACTTTTCAAATTGATTATTTGAAAAGACTAAAGGAACTTCACACGGTAGACACAGAGAATATTTAGTGAGAGGACATATCACTGACCTAGACCTGCTTCCAGAGAACAGCCCTCAACATTGGTGACAATGTTTACACTCAAATCACAAGTCAGAAAGTTCATATGGCTATAATATTCTACTTTAATAACTTGTACTGTTAACTAAGGATCCGATATTCTCAAAATCTCACTCATATCCACGTTTAGGGACTGATCTCTACCAAACACACTGACAAATGACAGATGATGGTGAGAACTGAGTGAATTCACACTTAAAAAAGAGACTTCTGGACTGTGGTAGACTGGTAAGGTTCACTAAGCAGGGAGCAGCAGGAAGCAGCTTATTCAGCTGTACACAAATCCCTTAAAAGTAACATTCAAGGAGAAAAAAATGTTACATTAGTATCTTAAATGCTTCATTTAATTTAAAACAATTGAAACTGTATAAAATACACACTTCATGAAAGTATTCTAAAATATCACAGATCTAAATCAGAGAAGGTAAAAAGAAAAACCAGAATATTTATTACTTTACATTTGTAAAGAATTCCACATAATACTCCTGTGTGGAATTAAGAGATAAGATAAAATATGGAGAGGTAAAAATCTAGGAGGCAAATTTATGGATTTATTCTGCAGCCATTAGAGTGTTTCGACAAGACTGCAAACACAGGAGCTTTCCTCTTATCATTACCATCCTCTGGATGAGCCCCCTGAGCAACATGAATCCCAATTAAACCATTTGCAGCCTATAAATTGGAATGAAAATGCTTCTTGGAGCGCTGTGTTCTAAACTTCAGTCTGAAGATTCAACATCACACAAGTTTTCCTTCTGAAGAAGGAAATCAGCCAGTATTTGCCTTTACTCCTTGCTGCCCCCAAATGGGACTCTAAATGACCTATTACTTACAGTAGAAAATGTGATCAACATAATTTTTCTTACAGTTCACATGTATTGTTCTAAAGTCACAGGTGGCTAGGAATGAATGAATGAAATGAATGAATGAATCTCTCAAGCATTATCTTATTAATAAACAACCAAAAAAGCTGCCACCTAAATCTCTGACAGGTTAAGAATCATCATCTTTACAGCCCCCGAGATCTCAGGTACAAGAAGGTCTGCCATCTGGCATCCCTCACCCTATTCAGCTCTTAACATCAACTGAAATGCTAACATAGGCAAGTGACTGTACTTCCGGAGAACTGATAAAATAATGAAGAGTCCTTTAATCTACAGGAAACCATTCTAGTCAATTTATAAGAAATATTGCATCCCTTTGTAGGACGTGTAATTATTTTCTATTAATCATGTGCTATAAAGCTACATTATGCGGTTATTCTGTTATCACTAGAAAGAGGCCTGCAGTCAGCTTCTGACAATGTTAGGTAATTACTAACACAAAGCTGCTTTCTCCTCCTGCAGTAATGCTATCAAGATCCAGAGGTGTAGTGATGCTTATTGTATAAAAATAGCACTCAAAAGAAATTCAATATCTGCAAAATGGATGGCTTCAAGGCAAAATGTAATGTGGCAGTCAAAGAAGCAAAAGCAGCCAAATCTGCCCAATAATCCGAGAAAATAATAGTAAGGTGGCATTGAATACTTGCAAGCTAACTCCTGTGTTTTCAATTCTCTTGCCATCACAATCATTTTATGTGTTTTACTTGATAGTTAAAATTTTAGGCCCCAATTAATATTTATTGAGCAATAAATTAAAGTGTGTAATAAGGCAGAAAAAAAGATAAGCCTTTTAGTTTTGATAAAGTGAAACAGACTTTACTCAACCCGAAAGTAAGCATACCTCCGTGTTTACTCATTGACTAAAGCTTCTCTCTCTGCTAGTATATTACTTTACACTTAAATAAGGCCCCACCATTTACTAAAATCCTTTTCAGCACCATGATCCTAGCTTCTCAAGTATGCTAATCCCCTTTCTGTAAACCATATGGTGAAAGAAAGCTGTCTTAACTGAAACTTGAAGCACTCTGTGATGCACTGACCCTTCCAGACATTACTTACAGACACATGTAAAAGCAACAGGTGTCTGAAATGTCAAAAGGCTATGCATCCTTTTCCCAAACATTTACCTGCCTTAAAATATACTACCCTTTTGTGGAAATGGAAGCAATTTTATTCACAAAATACAAAATACAGTAAGTTTAAGAACCAGTGGACTTTACATTATTGTCCAAGTACTGACTGGGATAACTATTCATAAACATTGTAGTATAATAGTGCGAAAACTAGGGAAGTTTTTTTAAAAAACACATAAGTAGTTTCTTGAAGGCAACCCTTCAACATCTTCCTTTGTATTATCTCTACTTGGAAATTTAAAAAATCATTCATTTCTCATGCTCGCATCTCTTCCAAGGGTGCCCTTAATTAAAAGTACAGCAGGAACTTTGTGACTCTTGGTTTCCTAGCCCATTGCAAGAGGAAACTGACGTTCCCAATCCCTGGTCCTCTGCAGTGTCTGACCACCAATCTGGAACCTGTTTGAAGAACTAAGTTTCCTAGTGGCTTACAGAAATCAACCTCGTTACTTAATAATTTACTGGGCAGGTCTGACGCTGAGTTCCTTTAAGAATAACTATTTTTTTTCCTTGCACTGTCTACTTCATTTTTATTTTTTAAATTTAATTAAGTTTATTGGTGCAATTTAGATATACAAATAATCACATTCATCGTAGGGAATTTATACCTATACAAGATGTATTTTGATTCCTCTTTTTCCCATTCCCCTACTCCTCTTTTCAACCTCTCTTCCCTTCCTTATTCAAGAAGTTTTCACCCTAAGTCCCTTTTCCTTTTAAATAGTTTCTTCCTGTTGCATAATATCTATTATTCTGGTTTATATTTATACTTTTAGTTTCTCACACGGGAGAGAACAGCAATATTTACACATGTGTATCTGATTTATTTCACTTACGATTATGGTCTCAAGGTCCATCCACTTAGATATAAATGTACCAAGATATACTACATTTTTAAAGCAGAAAAGACAAAAGAAAAGTAAGATGTCACATAGTAAGAATTTTAATTCTTATATGATAAATTTTGGTTTCTATCCCACAGTCAAGATACCCTCAATTCAAATTCCTACAGTCAACAGTTATAATAGTACAGAGTGAGATCTTGCCGGATGATCTG